GTATTCTTGTTTACCATATCACAGAGGAAAATACAACTCACATTTGTGATAAATTTATCATAATAATATTAATTGTATCATATTCATAATATCACATAATTGTATCATATTCAATTGTATCAGAACAAACATCCTACAATTTATCAGAACAAATAACCTACAGTTTGCACATTACATAACATCACATAATTGTAACTTGGTGTTTTGGTTTCTTGTCTCTTGGTGTCTTGACTCTAAAGACCTATGATTTCAAATAATTATATTTGTTAGTAAAAATACTTAGAAACTATAACATACAATTAATATATTATGAATAAATAAATTACGTACTTGTTAATTTTCCCATACACCTTCTTCATGATCGATTCAAATAGCATACACGACATCTCCATCAACTTCATCATATGAGGTAGGAAACTTGTGTTGTGTAAGAAGGTGTGGACGGAATATCAAGAATTTCATCACTAAGAGTAATGTGTTTTCCTTGGAGAATGATTGACCATTTTCCTGATATGTTTGATGGGTCAGTAACATAGAAAACTTGTTTTACTTGAGAAGTTATGATGAATTGTTCGTCATAAAAGATGCCTTGCCAAGGTCGACCTAGGAGAATCCTAAGTCATCAATGTGTACACCATTACTATTATTGGGAACTCACTTGCATTTAAATAAAGCCACTTTGAAAATAACATAATCAATCTCCCAAATCTCATCAATGACACCATAAAACGCGGTAGTTACCAATACATGATTCTTATCTTTCGAACTAGAGAAATACATCGATTCGGCTTCAACCATAACTCCACTATTTTGCATTGTACTATGATCATCTTTTAATTTTGTATAAAAGGTATAATGACCAATGTCGTATGCAGTCCAAGTAATGACACAACATTTTGGCCCGTACGACAACCATTTAAGTATCTCAGATGCACTAAAATCATTAGATACACTTTTACTAAACCAATATATGAATCTCTTATTATGCTCTATCAACAACAACTTGTCACTCATTCGGAGATATTTTTTTCCTCAAAAGTATTTTGTGAGTATCTTGAATACCTCTTTCGTCTGTGTCAATATGACGAGACTTTGGAATTCCTATAGAATCTGCGTCCGAAAAATAGTTTGTAAAAACTCAATAGCTTCTTCTGTGATGTATCTTTCAACAATCGAAGCTTCTGATCGGTGATGATTCTTCGTATATCCTTTAAAGATCTTTATATATCGATTTATTAGATACATCTCCCTTAAATAAATTAGACCACAAATTTTAATTTCTCCGACTAGATGAACAAGTAAGTGAACCATAATGTCAAAAATGGTGGAGGAAAATACATCTTCAATTGACACAAGATTATGGCAGCCTCATCTTCTAATTCATCTAATATTTTGAAATCAAGAACTTTATTACATATGACATTGAAAAATAAGCACAATCTCGTTATAATTACTCTCACATTTTTTGGTAGGATCTCACGGATAGCCACTGGTAGAAGTGGTTGCATCAGTACATGACAATCATGAGATTTTAAACCAATTAACTTGAGATCATTCATTGATACAAGTTTCTTGATGTTTGATGAGTAACCTTGCGGAACTTTAATACCTTGCAAACACTGGCAGAAAATTTTCTTTTCCTTTTTAGATAAAGTGTGACATGTTGGAGGCAGATAAGTTCTTTTTCCTTTCTCTATTAGAGCCAACTGTTTTCGTATACCCATCTTCTCCATATCAAGACGGGAAGTCTTACTATCTTTAGTCTTTGTATGGAATGTTTAGAAGTGTGTCAATCAAACTATCACACACATTTTTCTCCACGTGCATCTCATCATGACAATGTCTAACATCAAGACTTGACCAATATGGAAGATCAAAGAAGATGAACCTCTTTTTGCATATATTTTTCACAACTGCCCCTTTTTATTTTTCTCTCTACCCAAAGACAACATTAATGTGTTCCTGTCGTTGATAAACTTCATCCTCGATTAAAGGTTCAGGAGTCTCATCAAACTCTTGCTCTCCATTAAAAGCCTTCTGCAATCTATGATAAGGATGACCGGGTTTTAGAAATTTTTGATGCCCAAGATAAACGATATTTTTTCCAAACTCAAGTTGGTGATAACAAGTATCATCTTCATATATGGGACACACTCTATGTCCTTTGACACTATATCCAGCCAATTTACCGAAAGCAGGAAAGTTGTTGATTGTGCAAAATAACATTGCACGCATGTTAAACTTTTCCCTAGAATATGCATCATCAACTTCAACGCCTTCATCCCACAATATTCGTAAATCATCAATTAATGGACTTAGATAAACATCTATGTCGTTACCAGGTTGTCGTGGTCCAAAAATCATCATACTTAACAGTATATGCTTGCGCTTCATGCACAACCAAGAAGATAGGTTGTAAATAGTGAGAAGAACAGGCCATGAAGTATGATTAATGCTCAGATTACCAAAGGGGTTCATTCCATCGGTGGCAAGCCCAAGCCTAAGGTTTCTTGGCTCAACTCCAAAATCCGGAAACAATAATTCAATTTTCTTCCATTGCAACGAATCAGCTACATGGCAAATGTTTTCATCACGAGTCCTTTCATCTGAATGTCATCTAAGATTCTTTGCGTCATTCGAATTAGCAAAAGTCTCTTAAATCGTGAAATTATTGAGAAGTACCATAACACTTTAGCAGGAGGATGCTTCTTACTAACATTGTCATAGTCATTGTCATCACTATTATTGGTCTTCAGCTTGTAACGCGACACACCATATTTCAGACATTGATACAAGTCTTCATACTCTTTCTGATATAATATGAAATCATTAGGGCAAGCATGTATTTTGATATACTTCAGACCCATTGGACACAATATCTTCTTGACCTCATAACAACGATCCGACAATTTGTTATCTTCTGGTAACATTTGCTTTAACAATTCAAGTAATTTTGTAAAACTTTTATCCGATTATCCATTTTTCCCTTCAGATTAAACAACTTTAACACCGCCGAAAATCGTGTAAAATATGTGTATCCCTTATATAAAGGGGGTGTCTTTATCACTACATAAAGTACCATAAATATGAGCATTCTTAAAATAAGATTACTCAATATCACGGAACATATCCTCTAGTTAATCTTCCATATATTCATCTTCATCCACTCTTTGACTTTGTAACGCCCGACTTTCCTATTTATCTACCTCATCATGCCACGTCCATATTATATAATTTTGACATATACCATCACAACAAAGATGATGGAATGTCTCTTTCTTTGTACCCTTTTTGATATTCGCGCAAACAACACAAGAACAATAAAAGATACCATTATTGTCGGGAAGATGTTTATTAGCGTATTCAAGGAATTCAAGAACTTCGTTTTCATAAATCGGACCTAATTTATCGGCTTTCATACAACTACGATCCATAACAACTTCTGAAATTTATACATGTATAATAATGTGAATGACACACCAAAATCTAATCCAAAAAATTAAGCATATGCATATGCAAATCTAAACCTAAAGCATATGAAACATGTACGCTCATACCGACTTGAACATATACAACATAAACAAAGAAAAAAGGAATGAAGATGTTAAAGAATACTATACTTTGAAGCTGAAGAATCTTATGCACGTAAGGAATGAAGATGTTGAAGAGTACCGTACTTCGAAGCTGAAGAATCAAATGAACAAAGAGGGTGAAGATTTAAGCTTCAAATGAATGGATATAAAGAGGGTAAAGATTATGCCACCAGTGTCGTCTCTGGCTCGCTTGTTTTCCTAAGGCATCTTATGAAAGAAATACATAATAAGTTTTGTTTTAATTTATTAGTAAACCCTTTAATCGCGGTTGGACAATCCAACCGTAGTGAAATTGTAAGTCATTTATCAACGGTTGGTATACTTCACCTTGTAAAAGCATTTACAATTTATTTTTTAAAATAATGGACTTAAGTGACACACGCTTAATATCCTATAACAACGGTTGGTTTACTTCACCGTTGTAAAATCATTTACAATTTATTTTTTAGATAATGGACTTAAGTGACACACACTTAATGTACTCTAAAAAATGGAAAAAAATGTAGTTGCTGGGAATCGAAACTTGCTATACATCGTTTACGATTACGGAGTTTTAAGACAACTGTCATTAAATTACTGTTAATAAATCTAGCTACTCACCGGGCGCAAAAATTTTAACCTATTACAATAGTGTATATGAATCCGTTGTAAACCTGACATCGTTATTTGCGTGTTTTGTAGTAGTGTACACTTTTATATAATAATATAAATGATAATATATAAATATATATTATGCGAATATGAGGCAGGTTGAATATTAAGGTATTCGTACCCTTATCCGTATCCACTTATTTTAGTAAGTATTTTATCTGTGTCCACACACAAGTTCATTTTAATGATATTTATCAAATTTGTTTTGAGTATTTTTTTTTAGAGATATCTCATAGATATTGGCCAAATTATCATTCTTAGTAAGTATGAAGACGACAAACTTTAGAGTTTTCAATTTTTTTATTGAATTGAATTGAAAATAAAAGAGAATATATTTATAGGAAGCATGAACATTTATTAAAAAATATTGACTAATATAGTTTTCAGGTTTTTAGCTGTTTTAGTGGTTTGTTATTACTACAATACAACCATGCCAATTACACTCAAGCAAAATGGACACAATTTTTTTTTACATACTAATGTTATAATATATTATTCAATTCATAAAATAAATAATGTGAACACTTGTTAACAATCTCTAATTAGCCATTCCCTTCAAATCAGAAAGCCACAATAATAACACTATGATTCGTTGTGTTTTAATTTCCAAGCTGTCCCAACCCCAATATCTCATTCAATATCTCATTCAACATCTCATTGTTCCCCAACCAACATCTATTCCCATCCATGCATTCGTTCAAGTTGAAGCTGCGTCATTCACACTGCGCGTGCACGTAGCCAATTCCACGAGTGCCCATGGAAGGGCAGCGGGCCTCACAGATCAACCACGGCACCACCACCATCACCACCACCGACACAGTCGACAACAACAACGACAACGACGTTGTCTCACCGCCACCATCATTGCCATCACCACCAGGCCGTGCCCGCTATGAAAACATGTACATCGTTCAATTCCCAAAAGATCAAGTCTACCGTGTTCCGCCGAGCGAGAATGCATTGATCGTTGAACGTTACCGTAATATCCCAAAAACCAAGGATGAAAAAAAACGACGCTTCTGTTGTTGCTGTTTTTCCCTTCGTTGCTTCCTCACCATTGCTATAATCCTCATTACAATCTTTGCCATTGTTGGAATAGCAATAGCTCTCTTGTTCCTCATTTTTAACCCGGCCGGACCCACTTTCGCAATCAACCATTTTGAATTAAAAAACGTTACCGGGCCACCGCATTATGAAATATCCTTGAGGGCAAAGAATCCTAATCAAAGGTTGGGAATTATTTACCAAAGTTCCGACGTTTCTTTGCTTTTCGAGGATAATGAGGTTGCCACTGGAAAATTTCCTTCGTTGTCTGAACAAGGTAGACAAGCTATGACACAGTTTAAGGCTGATGTAACAGGAAAGCATCCATTGCCTAAAACGAAGAACACACCCTTGAATCTTGAATTGGATATGAATCTTCGTGTGAGGATGACGGCTTTGCGACTGAGGACGTGGATTATGAACGCTAACGTTGTTTGTAAGTTTAAGGTTACCAATCTTGGGAGCGATACGAGAATCTTGTCGCAACGTTGTGACACAAATTTCAGACAGCATTGATGATTTTATTTTTAGGGTATGGGGTTTGGGATCAATGTGTTATTGTTGAAAAAGTTATTTTATGATGAAAATATATACATGGTAGCAACTTCAATTAAACTATAAGTTGATGATCGCTTTGGATCTTATTGTCTTTTAAAGTTTTGAAATTTTACTTGGATTTTTGTTATTGCTCATAATTTCTTATTCAGTAGCTAGATTGTCTTTTCTTATTGATTTCTTTCAAATCTGTTAATTTATACCTTACAATTTACATGTTCTAGTTCTGCATTTCTTGATTTTAAATGTGCAAATGAAGATTAATCAATAAGAGTTTTTTTTTAGTAATGAAAGCAATCACTGGAATTTCTGAACTTAGAACATCTCTTCCTCCGTATCCACCATGATCAGGCAATCTGCCTCATCAGTACCACCATCAAAATTAGTTTCACCTGGCTTTTGCTATAAACAACATGGAATTTACCATTTGATCACATTAGACAATAATTCAAAGTCTCTCCCTTTCTTACTCAACCCTTTCTTCAAAGTTCAAGCATATGTTCTTAATGTGCTTGATAACATTATTTCTCCAACCGATGAGAAGGCTCAATAGATAGTTGATTTATTATCCAATCATCCTCTTGTTGTAAGTAAACTTTAATCTTGGAGAAAATCTGAATCAATATTGATGAAAAAGAAACACTCTTTTTGATTAATCGCGTCTCTTGTTCGTTACTTTTTACTTGAGTGAATCAACCACACCTTGATTGCAAGATGATCCTACTTTGTACATAAATTTAAAGAGATGAAAAATGATAAATTAAGGTTTGAGAGAATACAAAATTTTAGAGGAAGAAGAAGAATGTATTACACCGCGCAACTACACTGAATTATATTGTAAACGCGATTACAGAATGTTGAATTGGTTTTTAACTACATAAAGTCTCCTTATATTTATAATGAGATTACTTGCATTACAAGTAATCTCAAATTAACTAAATCAACTGTTACATGAAAAATATAATGTTTAACTTTGTCGAATTCTACCTGATTTGACTCAGTTGAATATACGCATTCTTAGACTCTTTCAAAGTAAACTTATTTGACAACTTCATATATACTTCGACACCATCGAATACAATCTTACTTAACACAAAAAATTGCATATTTAACACACTACCTAATTTATTGTGTCTAAGTTATCGACATTCATCATTGTTCTATATTTCTTTAACAATTTGACCTGCAAAACCTTCATCATTATGTGTGCAATATGATTTTATGATATGCAGTGTTTTAGGTTCAACCTTCCATTTGCTACTTGCTCTCTTAGATAATAGACTCTCATTTCAATGTGCTTACTTTTTCCATGTGGTATTGGATTCTTAGCCACGTTGATATTAGACATGTTGTCGATCTTCATGGTCATTGCTCCATGATCCTTCCTTATAATTTCTTCAATCAAATTCACACTCTATGTTGCTTGACATGCACATAGAGAGACAATTATGTATTCAGAGTCATGTGATGATAATGCTACAAAAGATTCTTTTCTTGAACTTCAAACAAATGGTGCATCACCTAACTTGAACACATATCCAGTTGTGGATTTTCTATCATCAACATCACCACACCAACTAGAGTTAGTGTACCCCACAAGTTTACATTCTTTTCCTTTATCTACTACGAAACAAAATTCCATAATCTAGTTACGGGGCAAATATTTTGGGACATGGTGCCACATATACAATGACACGTCATAAGTTGAAGTGCCAACTAGGTAAATCTAAAGACGGACCAACAAAAAATCATAAAATGTCAAGTAAAGGGACCAAAAAGGTGGTTTTTTTAAAAGGGACTAAAAATTTCAAAAAATCAAAATATGGGGATTAAAAGTGACTTTAAGTCAAAAACCTTTCTTGTATCTTTTTTCTTTTTGTTTACTTGATCTGCTGCAATGGTACATTATTCAAATGTGTTTCAGATAACTGAATCAATTGCATATTTGAACGTGATTCTCTGTAATATCAAATATTTTGACAGAACTTTATTTTAAATTTTGAGTAAAATACAAGCTTAAATATGTTTTAAAAAGGTTAATTATTTGTTGCGAATAAATCATCTAACATGCATTCTTAACTTATTGAGTAATGAGTCTTGCTAGCAATAAGCTATAACCAAATTTTAAATTGTTTAATATTTAGGATTATTGGTCTCTCCTAGGGTCGTTTGCTAAATCTTTTATTTATAGAAATGTGGGGACTTCTTATCCTGGTCATGACCCTTATGATGACCATCTTACTAAGATAGTAGATAGTCTCTTTCCTTTTCTAATAAGCGTGTTTGTTAAGGCCTTAACCGACTATAAATATGTGTTTATTAGGTAAGCATGTGTGCTTCTAAACATGCATACTTGGACTCATATCATGGGCTACACATTTACATATGGTTAGAGCCGATATCATAATTTTACGTTTATGTTAGTCCAATAGGATTTAAGACAAAAGACTTGGAAAGAAAGTGAGAAGAAAAATATACCTAGTTCTGCGGGCACACGAATGAAGAGATCAACTCCTCCATAAAAAAATATTTGCAAATCAATTAACTTTATACTCCAATGCATAAAAAATATATATGTATCATATGTATATGCCGAACAAGAATAATTTCCAATCAATGTTTTTTTGCTCGAATGCAGCCTGAGATCCTTCACTAAAATCTACCAACAAACAAACATTTGCTATCCAGGACTACGTAGCATCAGAGGATACATAAGAGAAAGATTCAACGTCTCATCAAGAACTATAATAAAAACTCCAAAAATATCTTTTTCTTGCTAAGAACTACATAGATTTAAATTCCTCATCGCACCTGAGGATACGTAGGAGAAAGACTCATAATCTTGTCAAACACCCTAATGAAAAACCTATTTTTATTCCTCTTTCCATTTAAATAACATATAGTAATAATTAGAAGACAAATAACATTACGCTAACACTCTTTCGCAAAACTAACTAAATGGTTCTTGTTAAGTACAATGGATGTGAGGGGTGTTAATAACTTCTTCTTGAATAATCAACTCTTGAACCTGATTTTGGTTACGATGACCATATTTTGTTCTTTTAGTGTTTTACTGACATTTTCTTTTTTTTTTGGAATAAATAAACTTTTTTGGCGACTCTGTTGTATTTCGAGTGTTCGTTAGGCTCATATATTTTTTCGCGTCGTGACACTTACTAACTCCTCTGATACTTCCAGGAAAAGGTATAAGGTTTCTCCAAGTAGTGGGCGTGTGAGTATAGGCGGTGTGGCCAACACTTTGTTCAGTGATTCGAATGCCTTCGAGTACTCAAGTGTACACTTGAATTTCGTGTATTTCCTCTACAACCTAAAAAAGAGGGAATGTGTGTTGGGAAGATTTGGAGATGAATAAGTTTAAAGAGGTTATTATTGGAAAAAATTGTACCATGTCCTTTAGGTTTTGATGATAATAAAGTATTTAAAAGAACAATTGGGTATACTAATGTTTGTTCAAGTGTGCAGAACCATAAACTAAAATTTCATATAGAATCCAAGTATTGGTTCTAACTATGAACATTCAAGAAGAAGCTTAAAGACCAAAATCTGATGGATCTGATGCTGAAGACCAGGCTCTGAAGAGATCAACGTATGAAGGTCAATGTCTAAAGAAGTCAGCTTCTGAAGACCAGACTTTGAAGAAGTCTGCTTCTGATGGTCGGAACCAGAGCATGTCAAGGCACAAGGACCAAGGTGACTCTAATATGTCACTATCAACCTCTGAGTCTACTTTGTCACGTGAAGTTCTAAGCTATATTTTCTTCATAGAGTCTATTGGGATATAATTGCTAATTCCTTTTGTAGCAAATGGTTTTCAAACTAGCCTTCACCTAACTAGAAAATTTGGTGAAATACCCCAACGTCTCTTTTGAATCTTCTTAAAGGACTCTAATGTGCTACATCTTAAACAAAAATTTTCTTCTCTATTTAAGGAGCTAAAGTCTTGAAGAATGTTAATTGACACTCAAAGAGAAGTTACTATATCAAAGCAAAAGCACAAGCTAAACTTTGTATTTCTTATCCTTGTATATCTTAGATATCCTTAAGTCTTAAAAGAGTACAATTGTGTTGTATTCTTTATACACCTTTGGTTGTATATCAAGTGTATTTTTCCAACAATCATTTGTCTTCTAGGTAGATTGTTAGAAGTCTCTTACTAAGTGTTTGAGCACCATCTGAAGTCTCTTACTTATGTGCTTGAGCAAAGGAAGTATCTTACTTTAGTGTTTGAGAAAAGTAAGTCTCTTGCCTGTGTGCTTGAGCAAATAAGTCTCTTACTTTAGTGCTTAAGCAAAAGACGTCTCTTACTTGTGTTCTTGAGAAAAGGAAGTCTCTTACTTTAGTGTTTGAGTAAATGAAGTATCTTTCTTGCATGCTTGAGTGAAGGAAGTATCTTAATTTAGTGTTTGAGAAAAGAAAGTCTTTTGCTTGTGTGTTTGAGCAAACAAAGTCTCTTACTTTAGTGTTTAAGTAAAGGAAGTCTCTTGCTTGTGTGCTTGAGCAAAGGAAGTCTCCTGCTTGTGCCCTTGTGCAAATTGTAATCTTCTGTGATTATAGTGAAAATCTCTTGTAACTACAAAGGGGCTGAATTACTCTGAATTTATGAGAGGAACCATGATAACTCTGAAGTTATGAGAGGAACCAGGATAACTCTAAGTATTATATCTGATGCCTACCTCTGCCTAAATCAGATTCTACAACCTTGTGTTTAGAATCTGAGCAATAGTGTTTTAAAGTAAGAAAAGTCAATATAATTCAACCCCCCTTGTGTTTTTTCTCACCTTCAGTTAAATTACCTTTCATCTTTTGGACCTCTTTCTTCGAAGCGGAAACACTCATTTAGACCGTTGCATCACACTTGTCAGAGTTTGCTTCAATTCCCATCTTTGTTAGGTAGAAGCCCAAGAACATGTTGTATCTTACTCAGAATGTACATTTCTTTG